ACTTTTCATTACCCCCAATCTAAGAATCATTGCTGTGGCGCTCCACTGGTACTGCTGGCAGAGGGCAGTGTGCTTCAGTCCAGCTGAGCTCTCATGGGCCTATAAGTTGAGGACTTTATGATTTCTGTCAACCCATAAAACCTTATTACTGAAGCATGGTTTTTCAAATTTTAAAAATTCTCTGTCTAGTGTTGGATTTTTAGGTGGCTGTCTAGAAATTTTCTCCAATAGAAAACAGATCAATGTTTCCTCTTAATGTCTTTCATGCCTGACGAGGAAAAGCCACTCTCCCAGCTCAATGCTCAGCGTAATTTTTACCACGTTCTGTCCCCAAATGGTGTTTTAACTTAAATATACCCTTATATTAATGACACGCAGTTGAGTGAAAATTAACCAACTCATATCCTATAAAAGAATGTAGTCTTCATGCTCCAAGAGTTGACTGAGAGAGCAAAGGTTATGGAAGACATGCAGGACCCTTGTACTCATGTCAGATTATGACATATTATAAATGCATGCTCTCATGCCATGGTGCAACTGAGCCCACACGCCACAACTACTGAGCCCACGTGCCTCAACTAGAGCGCCTGCGTGAGGCAAACTACAAAGCCCACACGCTCTGGAACCCACACGCCACAACTACAGAGCCCAAGTACCCTGGAACCCGTGCGCCACAACTAGAGAGAGAAAGCCCACACACCACAGCTAGTGAGAAGCCTGCGCGCCGCAACAGAAAGAGCCCGTGTGCCGCAACAAAGATCCCCACATGCCACAATGAAGACCTGACGCAGCCAAAAAAGTTAAAAAAAAGAAAAATGCATGCTCTCCACACATCAGTGTCTGCTGCCTACATTTTTAAATAACTGTGATATAAAATTCTATAGGTCTTTTTCCACTCATGAATACTTGACATTTTTCAACATTATTACAAGTTCCTTGTAAATATTTCTTAATTGAGATATAACTGACATATAACACATTAGTTACTGGTATACAATACAATATATGTATATTTTGTGAAATGATCACCACAATAAGTCTAGTTAACATCTGTCAACTCATGTAGTTACAATTTTTGTTTCTTTTGATGAGAACTTTTAAGATCTACTCTCTTAGCAACTCTCAAATACACGATACAATATTATTGACTACAGTCACCCTGCTGTACATTACATTCCCAGGGTTTCTTTATTTTACAACTGGAAGTCTGCACCTTTTGATCACCACCAATTTTGCCCACCCCCCCACCTCTGGCAACCACCAATCTGTCCTCTGTATCTATGAGTTCAGTGTTATGGCAGGATTTCCCTCTTTTTATTTCTGAATAATACACACATACACACACACACACACATACACACACACACACATATCTTCCTTATCCATTCATCCATTGATGGACACTTAGGTTGCTTCCATGTCTTGGCTATTGTAAACAATGTTGTAATAAACACAGGGGTACAGATATCCTTTTGAGTTAGTGCTTTTGTTTCCTTCTGATAAATACCCAGAAGTGGGATTGCTGGGTCATAAAGTAGCTCTATTTTTAATTTTTTGAGGAACCTCCACACTGTCTTCCATGGTGGCTGCACCAATTTACATTCTGAACAACTGGGTACAAGGGTTCCCTTTTCTCCACACCCTCATCAACACTTGTTTTTCTGTTTGTTTTAAAAAAAATTATTTACCTATTTATTTTTGGCTGCGTTGGGTCTTCGTTGTTGGGTCTTCATTGCTGCGCACTGGCTTTCTCTAGATGTGGCGAGCGGGGGCTTCTCTTCGTTGTGGTGCATGGGCTTCTCACTGCAATAGCTTCTCATTTCGGAGCTTGGGCTCTAGGCGTGCAGGCTTCAGTAGTTGCGGCACGTGGCCTCAGTAGCTGTGGCTCGCACACCCTAGAGCGCAGGCTCAGTAGCTATGGCGCACGGGCTTAGTTGCTCCGTGGCATGTGGGATCTTCCCGGACCAGGGCTTGAACCCGTGTCCCTGCATTGGCAGGCAGATTCTTAACTACTGCGCCACCAGGGAAGTCCAACACTTGTTATTTCTTGTCTTTTTGATGATAGCCATTCTGACAGGCAATATCTTATTGTGGTTTTGATTTGCATTTCCTTGATGATTAATGATGTTTAGCACCTTTTCATGTACCTGTTGGCCATCTGTATGTCCTCTTTGGAGAAATGTCTATTCATATCCTCTGCTCATTTTTTCATCAGATTTTTTTTTCTATTGTGTTGTGTGAGTTCTCTATATAATTTAGATATTAACCCCTCATCAGATATATGATTTACAAATATTTTCTCCCATTCTGTAGGATGCCTTTTCATTTTGTTGATGGTTTCTTTAACTGTGCAGAAGCTTTTTAGTTTGATGTAGTCCCACTTGTTTACTTTTGCTTTTTTGCCTTTGCTTTTGGTGTCAAAGCCAAAAAAACACTGCCGAGACCAATGTCAAGGACCTTACCACTTATGTTTTCTTCTAGTTTTATGATTTCAACTCTATGTTCAAGTCTTTAATCCATTTTGAGTTGATTTTTACGTATGGTGGAATATAGTGGTCCAGTTTTCCCAACACCATTTATTGAAGACTGTCCTTTCCCCATCGTATATTCTTGGCTCCTCTGTCATAAATTAATTGCCCATGTAAACATGGGTTTACTTCTGGGTTCTCTATTCTGCTCCATTCATCTATGTGTCTGTTTTCATGCCAATATCATACTGTTTTGATTACTATAGCTCTGTAATGTAGTCTGAAATCAGGAAGCATGATGCCTCCACCTGTGTTCTTCCTCAAAACTGTTTTGGTTCTTCAGGGTCTTTTGTGGTTCCACACAAATGTTAGGAATTAAGTACTTTTTAATGGTCAAAAAATATTTCAACAAGTAGATCTATGGTTATTTAAACATGTCAGTTTCCAGATAAAATGGATTTTTCAAGAGAAATATTGCCATTAAAGTACTTCTTAACAAAAATTTCAAATTGGAAATGTTACTAGACTATGTTTCTAACAGTACCTTAGTTTTTCTTTCCAAAGTAACATTCAGTGATCATTTTAACCTTATTTTCTCTTATGACTTCAATTATTTGACGACAGAAGACAAGAATGTCTGGTTTCCTAAATTCAGATATTTCCTACTTAGAATGCCTAAACTGATGAGTGTCCCTGACTTTTTCTCCACATCTAATCTGTACAAAGGGAAAAAGAAGAATTCTAGTTTGGAGGATGCCAGATTCCTTTCTCTCTCGTAGTTTCCAGACTCTTGCCTGCCCTTGCTGTAGCAGCTATTGTATATTTGATCCTTAGTGTTTTTAATATTCCTATGTTTCTGACCTCAGCTTAGCAAAATGACAGAAACTTTGCTTTCTGTTCATTGCTTCTGCTTTACTCAGATCCCCACATCCCTATTTTAGAGCTTAGCAAAGAACAGTGGAAAGTATAACAGCTTTGAAGTCAGACCTGGATTAGAATCCTGGTTCCATCAACAACTATGAGATCTCAGGCAAATCACTTAAACCCTCTCTATGCTTCAGATTCCTCAGCTGTAAAGTGTGGCTAACAGTGTCTGCCACAAATGTGCAATGAGTATTAGACTCAGTACTACTCAGGAAAATGTACTGAAAGTGCCCAACACAGCGTGGCACACAGCAAGCCTTCATAAACCCTGGTTACTACTGTTCAATAGTGCATACCATTACTATTATTGCTCACATTTCCTTACCCTAATTTGGAACTGGCATTCTTGATCCCTGACTTGAACCCCAAGATTGCCAGTGCCAGGGAGATGCAGAAGGAGAAGAACAAGTCCCTCTCTGACAAAGAAATCTGCAAATTTGGAAATACCCAACTGGAAAAGGAAGGCAATTACTAATCACGAAGGTTAAAGAGGAAACCCAGCAAGAATCAACTGGGTGTTTGAGATAAGTATGTTGACTTGAATAGAAAACAAAAGAAGTCTCAGAAACATTCCAGTTGAAGTATATAAATACATAGAAATCTGTTACTGGCATTTAAAAAAATGAAATAAAACATAGCTTTTCAGTGGCAATCTAGTTTCCATGAGGAGTTATTTTTCCAGATAGCATAAAATTAGTTTCCTATCTTAAACTGCACCTGCTAGATTACTAACATTTGTATTATTAAGTCTCCGGACTTAAAGTGCTTTTAATGTGAATTTTCCTCCTACTGTGCCCATCTGTTCTTTTCTTGTGGGCCCAGGGGAAGCCAAGACTTAATAAATATTCAGTTCTCAGACTTTTTTATGATATTTTCATATAAGCATTTATATCCACTGAAGAAAATTATAAGACTGTGTTCAGAAACTTAACTCCACTTGATTTCCCTTATCTCACTATCCACGTGGTCATTATTTTTATGAAAGACTAAGAAGTCACCATACATATAAGAAGTAAAGCCAAGGAAAACAAATAATTATAACTTTAAAAGGTAAATTTGTCAGGGATAGTAAGTGATCTTTGATATCTGATAACACCAAGATATCTTATTTATTCATATAATATTAGACAAATAATTTATGACTTAGCCAATATTAAATTAATGTGGATAGAGCCAGCTCAGGTGGGAGAAGGCATCAGCCGTGGCCTCCTTCACAGGATGCATTTCACCCAGTGACGCTGCTCCTCTGCCCAACCAGGTCAGGGCCACGTGAGCTTGCTTTCCATGACCACCTTCCCTACCATGACAGCAAGCTGGCTGGATAGAAATGATCCATACCTAAGTTCTCCCTGTGTAGTGTCAATATTTCACTAAATAAACACTCATTTTACTTAAAAAGTCAAAAGTTCAAAAACAAGGTAAAACCAGCAAAGAAATGGATGGTTGCTACATTAAAAACACTATAAGCTACAAACATAAATTCAAGACATGTACAAATATTAGCTACAACATGGCTACTTATGAAACTCCCTGGCAGGCAGAGTTCTGGAGGCAGGTGTTACTTATTGGCAGGCTTAGAGCAGACAAAAAAGGAAAAAAACAAACTACCTCAGCAGCTGCAAAGCCGATGCATACTCCTCTGAATCCCGTATGTTCTTTTCTAAACACGTGCAGTACAGCTCTCTGATCTGGAAGTGAACAGCACACTTGTGAGGAATCAAAAGTGATCTCCTAAGTTTGCACACTACGTTTGGAAAAATCATAAATGGTCAAGTCAAAAAAAATAATGTCATTAAAAACAGCCACTTTCTGTAGATGACAACAGACTTGGCATATATCACATGGATCAGGCATTTACATAAAACACCATTCACATGAAAGCAAAATGAGACCATATTGGGATTGGCTGATATCACCGGTCACTTTGTAATAAGAAAATTATTAAAATGATGATGTGATTACTAAAAAGGTTTAATGGCAGAAAATGTCTTATAAACAAGTCATTCTTACATATTTATATTTGTTCTCTAAACCTTTTGAGTTAAGGATGCAAAGATTTAGGAATACAGAATTCTTCCATTGCATTCACTTGACAGGTGGTTCACAGGTTTATGCTATGACACGAAGGCCAGCAGAGCATAATTTTGCAAGGAGCAAATTCTTAAACTGCCTCCTTTTAGCTCTGGGCGTAATGCAAGGTTAACCATTAAATGGTCTCAAACAGATTCCTTTTTCCATTTCACTAAAGTGGAGGATCAGCTCTCTCAGTATAAGTGACAAAGAAATGTTAAAGAAAACAAGTTTAAATGCCTTAGCACATGTACATTGGAGAGAAAGCAACACCACTTGGATTCATATGGCTGTTTCTAGTTGTGGCCATCAGACAAAAAATACTGTTTCAATAACGAGTAAAGTATACAGCTGGAATGGATTTAGATTGCGTACTCACTGCAAGATTTGGATCCATTTCAAATTCTGATGCCTGAATGCTACCAAACTCAAAGCAAAAAACCACTAATATTCCTACTTTGTAGATTCCAAATGAGTAAGTTCTGGTTACCTGTCGACCCAGTGGGTACTTGGGAAGAGAAGAGGTGAACTGATGAAGACATCTCAAAACCAGGAAGTAATTTGTATGGTAAACATGCAGGTTTTCTAGTAATGACTGTGTTTCCTCCTAAAAAAAAAAAAAACCATAGAATACATTACAAATATGTAAGCCAGCAATTAAAAGAATAAAATACTAAAATCTAATTCATGGGTATATATATATAAAATTTCCAGAAAACTGATGAGAGAAGATTCAGAATTGCAAATTAACCTTAATCCTGAGAATTTTTAATGCACACAAAATCTAGGATAAAGGCTGGATATTTTGTATTTAGTGTCAAGTCTGGCGATATTTCACACACACCAAAATTAATATTGTAATTTAATTTCCTCCTATCTACAGCACTGCCACAATAACTTGGCCCCCAAAATACAAGTGTGCAAAAGAGCGACCGCGGGATGCCTGCCCATGCTAGTCACCTGGTGTGTACCACAGCAAGGTATGCCCATCACCCTCTACCTCACTGGCATCAGAAGGGTGAGGAGATCACCAGAGCGCCCACTACCAATGTAATTAACGGTTGCTGAGGTTCCGCTTAAGATGTATGTATGCTTTTCTTAAAGTCCTGGTAAAGTTGTGTTTGAAAGGGAAGAAGGAGAGACTGTAGAAGAAATACTGCAGGTGTAAACTCCTGCTTTTTGCTGGGAATCTCCAATACTGGTTTAGTCACTTTACCAACTAAGGGGAAAAAAAAGTGAAAAAGAGCAATGTGAAGCCAACAAGCTTTATAATTTAGAATCCAACAAGTATGATATGGGAGATAGTGTCTTAAGAAACCTATGGGATGACTGAGCTCACAAATCAGTTTCAAAAGGTTTTTCTTGGGGGTGGGGGGTGGCTGGAAGTGATTATGTTTTCTAGAACCTTCTGAAATGGTTTAGAAATTATTTTAAAACACTACGTCCTATCAAGCATTTTTCAGGCCTCAAATACTTTTATCACTGCTTATTTCTGTAACATTTTCTTAAGAGGATTATGATCTGTGGCATGGTCTTCAAATTTTTTTCTCCAATGAGAAGTCAAATAAAGGACTTTAACTACTGGGCTGTCTTTTTTTTTTCAGTAATATCTTGCAGATACCCATTATTTTCAGTGGTCAACCATGCAGAAAATAATACCTCAGATATCAATAAATTCAAGCAAATCCAACATATATAAACCAACAAATCTGATATATTTTCCTAAACTCTAACTCAGAAATCAATTCCTTGGTCAGCGATCTATGGACCATTACCTGAAAGCATAGGGCAAATGAAAGAAAAGATTTTAGTATCAAAATGTTTTCCCACCAGTATCCGAGTTAGTTGGAATTTCAAAAATCTAGGTCTCCTATCATAACAAAGGGTATTTTAACCACCACTGGCAAGGTATATTTTAATTCTATTTTCACTGTAAGCTATGACAGAGACTGCATAAAGCCACTAACTGTTTGCCTTGATGTGTGATTAAACAGCTTTTAAACAGGGGCAATATTCTGGAGAAAAAGGAATCTATTACTGAGTAATAATAATACTTCTTGCTGCTTCATGCACTACCTATTACTTTTGCTTTGTGGAGTAACTGTAAATACAAATAACTAGGTGATACAATAGAAATGAATGCCATCTTCACTGAATTTACTTGTATGTGGAGAGAAAAGAAATACCTGACACAGTATGGGCAATGTTACACGCTCAAGGAACTATATGCCCTAGAGTAAGTGTGAGAGGAGGGATACGAACATGTTTTCTCCCGGAATGTGGATCACATCCCTGTGCTGAGTGGAATGCTAGCATTTAAAAAACATTTTGTTTGGTTTTGTTCCTATAATATGGCAGACTAGTTCATGTGAGGAAATGGAGTTCTGGTTCCAACATTGGAAATAAAACCGGCTACATGGGACTTAATTGAGAGAAGATCTGTGATATCTTTCTAAGAGATTTTCAAGAATAATTTTGACCATCCCAAATCTTTGCTTTATGTGCTGACTTTAGAACCTAATCTCCATATAAGAAAGATTCCACTGTTATTTATATCTGTGTGCTTATCAGCTGCAGCAGAAAACATCACAAATGACTAATTTAACTTTTTCACGTAACCTGTTCTCTAAGTTCTTTGTCTTGCTGAGATACCTATCTGCAAATGCCTTTATCTAGGCAGGGCAACAATCCTGATGCACTTTAGGAACACTTTTTCATAAACTTAAGTCTGGTTTTAATGTATGAGAAAATTTCCCACTTAATAAACACATTGCAGCAGCATCACAGTATGCTCATGCAAAAGCAAAGCCTGTTGAAACAGTACTCCTGTTTTCCAAGCATTAAAGTTTTCCTCGGGCATCATTTCTGTACCGTAGTCACAGCTGCCACTGTTTTATTTCATAGTTGTGTTTAGGGTGGTCCTTTTCAACAGAGATACACTGCCTAGAAATATTTATTATTTCCCAAAGAGATATGTTTTCTTCTGTTCTTGAAAAATGAAGACCTCTTGGTCTCTACTGATCTTTGAAACAGATACAGGAACAGTGTGCTGTAAGAAAAACAGAACAGAAACAACCTCCTTGCTCTTCCTCAAACGTTCCAGACATGCTCCAACCTCAGGTCTTTTGCACTTACTGTTGCTCTGCTTGGGACTCTCTTCCTACAGATTCCTGCGTGGCAAGCTCTACAAGTACCCTTTATTAAAGTCACCTTCTTGGTGAGGCTCTTATTTAAAATTTCAATCCCACTCCCCATGCACACCGTCCATATTCCCTTCCTTTCACTGTTTTCACCTTAGCAATTATCACTAACATAGATATTTTACCTACTCATCTTGGTAACAGATAAGCTCCACGAAGGCAGGGGGTTTTGACTGTTTTGTTCAGTCCTGTACTAGATTAATACCTGGCATACAGTAGTCACTCAAAAAATACTTGTTGAATGAGGAAGTGCGTGAATGAATGGAGGCCAACACGCAGTCTCTCTCCTAAATAAAAGCAACCGCTTCTGTCTTGCTGGGTGTGGGCCAGACTTAACTAATTTTTCAAAAGAAGACAAAAGTCTGAATTTGTGATGTAAAATATCTCAATTTGTAAATGTTGCCTCAGATTAAAAACAAAAACCACTATGGACCTAAAAAATCACATTTATAGCAGGCTGTCAGTTGCCAGTCAACGTGTAATACACCCTTTTAAATCAGCCATCTCCAATCACTTCAATTCTGTCATTCATTCAAAAATCATTCATGTATTATTGTTTACTTACATGACAAGGCCTCTATCATTACTGATCTAGTTACTTTTTTTTGGAGAAGCCAATGACTATGTAAAACTTAAATATATATATATAGATAGATAAAGAAAACTTGAGTAGAATTACATTTGCCATGATGCTTAGTTTCTGCATTTATTTCTCTTCTTACTTCCACAGTATTTATCACTTTCGTGTCTAGAATGGTATGCATGGGGTGAAGAGTGATCTCAAGAAGATTACACGGAAGTATGTAAAAGTGACTAAATTTCTGCAATTTATTCCTTTCAGATCATGAAAAGCTGGTAAAACAAACATTGAATTTCTGGATGAAAACGCATCAGCTGTCCAAGAACACAGCATTTTCTTATTTATCATCTTGATAGAACTAAGTGTTATTTTTCTCATTAGAGAGAAATTTTGGCTGACAGTGTTTCCCAGATCACATGGCAGCTACCTAGAGAACAGCAAACCACCGTTTTCTCCCAGCTCGTAAGTGGCCTGAGTGCCAGTCCTCTCATCTGTCTCAGGCTTTTGTCCTGCATACTCCTACCCCAGCATTTACATCAGAAGCACGTGATGAAGGGTTTGGATTTAAAGTGTCAATTCCTCACACACTACCAGGCTAACGCCTAGCTTGTTTGATCACGTTTGGTAGTTTGTTTGCAGTGGTTTTCTTTTTTCCTTCTCTTTTCCTTTTATTATTAATAAATCTATTATTAATAGATTTCCCCCTTCCTTCTGCCCTTTGGTTCTGCCAAAAGAAACAGAAAGAAGAGGCATGGGCAAACGTGAAAGGCCGGTCTGCAACAAACACATGATAAGCATGCTAAATGGTGACCAGAAGTCCTTGCCCTACCACTAACTTGCTCTGTGATTTCAGATATTTCACTTCCTTTCTCTTGGCTGCAGTTCCTCACTTGTAAAATCAGCATGCTCAATCAGATTATCTTTGTAATAGTAATATATTACAACTCTAAGACATTCTCTTACTTCCCACTCTCAATGGAGTTAAAATCTAATTGGGCACATAGGCATAGTGGCATGAAACATTAAAAGTCAGAATAATAAAACTTCAACTGTCACCTGCAAGAGACTGAATCTAAGTTTTCTACATACCATGAAGTTTAACCCTTTAAGGGCTGAGAACATGCCACATAATTTTAAGTAAGATTTGAATAAAAATACATAAATTGATTTTCTTAGATGAAGTACTTGGAATTAGTCACTCATTAAATATACTGAGGATAATGTAATTTCTTGGCAAGACAGGACCAACATGAATAGCAGTTCATTACTAGTAATATAGCATGTGGTCGGTATAGAGAGCACAAGATTAAAATGGGCCTAATCTTAGATATGGTATTGGGACAATGCATAAAAACCACTAATTGGGAAAAGCTGTTAATATTCTCCCCCCACCAACGCAAAACATTTGCTCATGGAAAGGAAGAGAATTTTTCACTATTAAAAATCTTTCCAGGGACTTCCCTGGTGGTCCAGTGGTTAAGACTCCACGCTCCCAATGCAGGGGGCCCAGGTTCACCCCTGGTCAGGGAACTAGATCCCACATGCCACAACTAAAATATCCCACATGCCACAACTAAAAGATCCCGCATGCTGCAACTAAGACCTGGCACAGCCAAAAAAAAAAATCTTTCCAGTATTTCAAGAGCTAGGGTTTTTTTTATTATAGGATAATGATAACAGTTACGCAAATGTGATATGACGCCAAAATCTTCTTCAAAGCTCTCCTTAACACCTGACTTGAAACAAAATTTCAGGCACAAGCAAGAGTAAAAATTGTATCTCTGTAATTATGGTGAATTTGAAAGTCCTGTTTAAGGCACTTTTGAC